ATTTTCAATTATTAATAGAATTGAGGGGATTCTTTCTTGTGTAATGTACCATTGACAGAGAACACAAGGAATAACTATGAAAAAATCAATGGGTTTAACTAAGTCAACTGCTATCTGCATATGTTGGGAAGTGCCTTCAACTGTGCATGACGAGGGGTTGCTAACTAGCCAACATGACTGCACTTTAACCAGCATACTTTGGACTGCAGTGATTCCTGGAGATAGCTTTCTGGAAACAGCTTGGCAAATAAGTGTTCAAAGTATACTTTGTAAGATTGTAGGCACATGCATCTCAAACATTATCTCGATCACACAAAATCTTAATATTAATAATAAATCAAAATATTTCACAAAATTTTGCATATATTTGCCAGAATAGATTAATTCAAAAGCAGGAACTATTATTTTTTTCTAATAAAATCACATCATTGGTTGGTGAAAATAGAGAAACTTTGAAGGAATTCAGATTTTTTTTAAGCATCTGAACGACTTGCAGTAAATGTTTGGGAAACCTCAACATTTTTTCCATTACCATCAATATAGCTGTATTTGGTTTAGAAAGCAGGAAGATTTGTTATTCTATGAAGTTCCTTCTAACTTATTTGTTCTTCTTCATCATGCCTTGAGATGTTGCATTTGAGCTCAGCAGTTTTTATATTTGCTCAAAATGGTAAAAATAAAATAAAATAAAATAAAATAAATCTATGAAAATGGTGCAGCAGAAGCCGCATTAAATCTTCAAGACATCTAATATGCTGTGACTGAAAAGCTCCAAGAAACAACAAACTATTCTGAATTTCTTGTTTTTAAAGTATGGCTATAGTAATATTTGCTTTACCTAAACAAACAAAACTGATGTCACTTTTTTCCTCTTAGCTGTGACATTTCTCTAGCTTTATAGAGCACTCAGAACAGGCACCGACTACATCAGCATAACGTGCTAAAATACAAATTAAGCGTATTAGATCATTCAAAAACTTTACGAATGCTCTAATAGAAGCAAACACTTACCAACAGGGTATTGTAAACCACAGCACAGAAGAGAAATACAAAGCAGAAACAGAAAAGGAATTTGCCGAACCGTCCTCAAAGAGAAATGCAATTCAAGTCCAGCATAAGGAGCATCTCTGGAGAAAGAAGGTTTAAAACACTTTGGTTCCCGGGTTCTCTTAGTATAGTGACGAGGGTGGAAAAGAAATTAAAGTAAATGCCAGGAAAGTAGGCAGGTGAATCAAGGGAGTGCAGTGACTCATTATTATACAGGAGTCACTTGTCTATTCTGGATGATGCGAGAATGACTTCCAATTCTGTTTCCAAACAGGAAGCGATTGCATACTTCATGGAGAAAGACTAACCTACTTGAATCAAATTCCTCTAAAATGTATTAAGGACATTTCGATGGAAGCAAAGTGCTGAAAACTAGTACACCCAACTGCGATTGCTAAGGTGGTCCCAGCAAGAAAGAAGTTGGATCACTTCAGTACTGGAAGACTATATAAAAATAATAGCTGAAAAATATTGATGGGCACTAATCTACCATCTAAAAAAGACTTCTGAACCCAAAGGTGCATTTTTCTCAGGAATGTGTATTGTGTATTGTCTGATTAAAAAAAGATAAGAGTTAAAGAGCGGTGGTCTGGGACTGCGAAAGACGGTGTGCTGAGCTCTTCCCTTCACCAGCCCCCATCAGCATTCTTATACATTATTAATCGTTATATTACTTAATATTGCCAGGCCTTTATAAATGACAAATACTATGTCTAAATTTCACAGTGCAAAATGATTCTGCTGAGCAGACTGGATGAAAACTGCTAACATAACAGACAAACAATCAATCTGGCTGGTGCACTAGGAGAGAGAAACTAATATAGAAGATTTTTTAGCATAACGCATCTTCTTATGAAGTGATTATGATAGATACCTTCCATGTTGCAGGGTTGTTGGTTGTAGCCGTGTTGGTCTAAGGACACAGGCAGGCAAGGGTCTTTGGGTAGATGCGATATCTTTGATTAGACCAACTAAATAGCAAAAAAGTTCTTTGCAAACTTTTGGGCACAAACACCCTTTGCCAGGCGCAGGGAGACGTAACACCAGCAGAGTCTCCCCATGCCTGACGGAGGGTGTTTGTGCCCGAAAGCGTGCAAAGAACTTTTCCCCAACTATTTAGTCGGTCTAATAACATCACTGCTTACTCGGAGAACCTCGCCTGCCTATGATCAAGATCAGCATGTCTAATTATTCTTCATTGCGATCTCTAGCCCTAGACACTTCTATACATTTTGTGATACGACTTTCTTTAAATGATGGGACAGCGTCTCCGGCAGATTCCTCCCACAAAAGCTTGGTCGTACGAGCCGTGACCGGTGACGCAAACAACCGCGTTCTCACTCCTGACGTTTCGAAACCTCAAGAGAAACCTTTCACGCCTTGCGACCTAAGTATTAAATAGGGCTTATTGCGAAACACCCTTGAACTTCACATCAGGAGGGAGGGACCCTTAGCAGGGCATTTTTGAGTAGCTGACTACAGTTTCAGGTGAAAGGTCAATCCAAAATCCCGGCTGCTTTCAATGCGACTATTTAAATACAAATAAGTGATGTTATTTTAATGCAACCCGAAGTCAGCTATCACCTCTACTACGAGCCCTGATCGCCTTTTCCTCTAGACCAATCCGGCTACAACCTGAAGTCCCCGAAATGCATTTAGCTTTCTGCCAAGCAGCGAACCCAGCCCCCAGACAGCTCTCCTCTCATCCCGCTATTACGGACCCCCTTGAGACGCTGCCTTCTCCTTCTCAAGCAGTCCACAACAGGGTCGAGGCCCGATGGGCCGTCAGCCCGGGGCTGCCCAGAGCCACCTTGCGCAGGCGGGCGGGCGGGCACCCGGACCGCCCAGGGCTGGCAGGGCTACGGGGGGCATCTCTCAGGGCAGCCCTGACACACATCGCCAAACCCGGCGGTGGGTGGGTGTGCACGGGGGACAGGACCGGGCGGCGCTGTGTGTGTGTGTGTGCTGGGGGGGCGGCCGTGTCATTTCAGCACCGACGGGGGGGAGAGCCGGCGAGCCGGGCCGCGCCGGATCCACCGCCCTGCCCCGCTAGCGCCCCGCCCCGCCCCGCTCCTAGTTTTGCAGAAACCTGTCTGTTTAAATGTTTTTTATGGAAACCTGCCTTTTTTAATTTTTTTATTTTTTTTTACAGAAACCTGCCTTTTTTTTCTTCTTTTACAGAAATCTGCCTTTTTTCTGTTTCTTTTTTTTTTTAAACCTGCTTTTCCCCCCCTTTTTTTGGAAACCTTTTTTAATTTTGGGGGGGGGGGTTTGGAAACCTGGCTTTAAAATTTTTTTTTTTTACACAAACCTGCCTTTTTTTCCTTTCTTTTACGGAAACCTGCCTTTTTTTCTTTTTCTTTTCTTTTTTTTGAAACCTGCCTTTTTAAAATCTTTTTGGGAAACCTGCCTTTTTTTCCCTTTTTTTTTGGAAACCTGCCTTTTTAATTTATTTTTATTTATTTTTTATTTTTTGGAAACCTGGCTTTTTAAAATGTTTTTTACAGAAACCTGCCTTTTTTTTCTTTGTTTTATGGAAACCCGCCTTTTTTTCTTTTTCTTTTTTTTCTTTTTTTTTGGAAACCTGCCTTTTAAAAATCTTTTTGGGAAGCGTGCCTTTATTATTTTTTTTTTTTTTGCGGAAACCTGTCTTTTTAAAAATTTTTTTGGAAACTTGGCTTTTAAAGTTCTTTTTACAGAAACCTGCCTTTTTTTTCCTTTGTTTTATGGACACCTGCCTTTTTTTCTTTTTTGAAACCTGTCTTTTTTTAATGTGTGATTTTTTGGGGTTTTTTTTTCAGAAACCTGCCTTTTTTAATGTTTTTTTGGGGGAAACCTGCCTTTTTTTTTTTTTTTTTTTACCAAGATTTGTCCCTTGCTAAAGGGGAGGGGCTGGGATGACATTAGCCACCCAGGTGGGGGATGGGGGATGGCAGGCATTTCCCTGCAAAACTCAGCTTGACCAGGTTGGGGGGAGTTGCAGGGATGTGTTACTTTATATTCAAGTGCTTTGAGATCAACTGACTATTCCTGCACCTCCCTCTGGCCCCTTTGTCATCATGCACGTGGTTGAAAATCTCAGGACAGGTATCTCCAACTATTAGGCAAACGAGGCAGTCGCTTAGGGTGCCAAAATTGGGAGGGGGGGACAACAAAATGATACACAGAATAAAGTAACAGGCGTGAACGCCATGTGCCCCCGGAGGCTGGGACACCATGGGGGGTGCAGGTGCCACCGGCCATGTTGGGCAGTGACAATCACGGACCGACTGCAGACGCCGTCAGCAGTGTTAGCAGCGACAGGGGGTGGCGAGCAGGCACCACCAGCAGTGTCGGCAGTGCCTTTCTGCACCCTAACACCCACGTGCACACCCTGACACCCATGCACACCCCTATTTGTCGCACCCTGACACCCACGTGCACCCCCTATGTGTTGCACCCTGACACCCGCGTGCACCCCCTATGCATTGCCAATGGTAGGAGGAACATCATTCTAAATAACAGTCTTGGCCGGCTGTTATAATTGTGTTAGGGTTAATGAAAAGTGTGAAACAATCAATAATTCTTTGTTTTTGTCGTTATAGTTTTATTGTTCATTTTGAATAGCAAATAAGTACATGGAAAAGTTCATTCTAGACTTCTTATTTTCCTTTATATTGAAAGCGGTGGGGGCGTCAAGGTACACAGCTTGCCTACGGCACCAATTACCCTCGGACCAGCCCTGGGTACCTGGTGTGATCAGTTGACATCAAGGAAGCAATTAACATGTCCTATATGCAGACAAGGTTCTTTGGGTGAATCTGATCTCTTTTAGTAGGCCAACTTAAATACTTGGAAAAAAATTTCTTTGCAAGCTTTCGGGTTTAAAAACCATTTGTCAGGCTGAGGAAGCATCTGGAGTTGGTAATAAAAGAGATCAGATTCACCCAAAGAAACCTGTCTGCCTTTGTCCTTAGACCCACATGGCTACAACCAACACCCTTGTCCTATAACATTTGTGGGCAGAAGAAAAAATGTGGGGAGAATTAGGTTTTCTTGAAGAGCTTTCCCATTAATTCCTCTGTGGAATTAAGGCCAAACATCTTTTGTAATACGAGGTGTCGTTCTTTTTCAGTTTCTGTCAATCAATGGAATGGAAATGTTCAATAGGATATAATGGCTACACACACAAAAAATATATGTGAAGAAGGATCAATACAGGATTTCTACCCTATTCATCCAGTCTCTAACAATACCAAAGTTAGGAATTTGGCACAGCTGCATACTGTTTTTTCTGCTTGGAAATCAGGTACTAGGATAGGTAGCACCCAAAATCAGGACATGTTTGCTATTGCTGCTGATCATCTCAGAGTACGGTATACAGAGATGATCTTCCTTTGTGGAGGATTGATTCACAAACATCTTAAATCTCCACAATCACATTGGGTTATAAAGTTAATTGTATCACATACAAAGTCATGGCCAAATGAAAAGAATGGAATTTCACTGTATTTAAAGACTTGTGTCTATAAAAAAGCAATGATCATATTTTAATATGCATTGTTATGATATTGCAAGGACTTAATCCATCAATACTAATGGAAGTCAGAAAGGAAGTATCCCAAAGGACCTATCCAATGTATTAGTGATGAAAGAGAGAACTTATGATAAGGTAAGACGCAGTCCTTCTTCCTCATTTAGAAATTGTTGTAGGATATTCTTGCAGATTTTACACAAAAAAACCCCCAGTTATCATTCTTAAATACCTGACTGATGAAGGTATATTTAATTCTAGGCTTGCACAAATCATCCTGAGTCTCCATTAGGTACATCTATAGCTTGCTGCAGAAATTTAAAAAAACATAACAGAAGAAAAAAAATCCAAGATTAATAACTTTTTTTTAAACCTGACACAAGTCCTATTTTAGTCAATTGAAAGACTCTAATTGACTTCAGAATTTAATTGGGGTTTCACAGCCCTGTTAGAACAATACTGGCTTCTCAGTTATGCTACCCCACAATGAGCGATTGATAAATACATTCACAGCGTTGGTTTTCTGAAGTGGAAACTATTATTTTTTTTAATTTGGGAAGTGTTAAGATTTGGGTGTTATTGTGAAAGGTTTTGTTCCAGAAGACTTAAGTATTTTTGATGCAGAAGACTTTTGTTGATGACTTAAGTATTTTATGAGGAGTTTTATGTTTGTTTATAGCATAATTAGGTAAATAATGTGATCTGCAGACTGTCTAATTGCATAGATGTCTTTTTTTTAATATATATACCACTTTGTAAATAGTCACTTGTTGCAATGATGATCCTTGAATCCTAACCCCTCCATTTTGTGCAAGATGAATAATTGCACAGATACACGTTCCAGAGTGCCCTGATCGTGAGGAGTAGTTTCCCAAACAAGTGTGACCCCATCTGAAAGCTGTCCAGTGACTCGTGAAGTTAGCTCAGATTATTTGCCAGTAAACAACTGACTCTACCAGAGAGAGCAATCAAAGCACTTGTCACCCTGGTTGGCAGCCCAAGGACTGAATCAGCCCCTGGAACTAAATTATATCCATTTGCTAATCTCCAGTCAGTCCTTATGAGACTTTAAAAATGAATTAGTTTAATCTACCGCGCTATGCAATGCTGGAAAAGAACAGGATGAGAAGTGTGATTATTTGAAGAGTAAATAGGTGGTAGAAAACAGTAAAAATAAAGAAGCCTCACACATCTACTGTTGCCAACTCTCATGATTTTTGACATTGTTCTTAAAGTCTATGCTTCAGGAATGTGAGAAACTTCTTTTATATATGAGAGCTGTTCAAAAAGTATTAAGTATTGACTGATGGGGCCATCTCAGGTGAATATGGAGGCTGCGGCACTTGTGGGATACGGTGCAACTGTTTTTTTCTCTTCCCTCCACTAAAGAAAACCTTGAAAGGAAGAAGATTGTGGGATGCGGAAACCATAAAACAAAAAATGCGACGGAGCAACTTTTAGCCATTCCACACATTGCTGATCAGAGGTGCTTCCAACAATGGCAGAAACGTTGGGAGAAGTGCACAGATGCAGGAGGAGCATACCTCGAAGGAGATATAAGCCGAAACCCCTGTAAATAAAATATTGCGTTTCCTACAGCATCCATCTCGATACTTTTTGAACAGCTCTCGTATATACTCTTTAGTCTTGTACGTTCACAAAAATGTCCCTGTTCCATCTTGCATGTTGTTGCCGACGCTCATGATTTTTGGCATCGTTCTTGAAGTCTAGGCTTCGGGCATGTGTGTGTGTGTGTGTGTGTATATATATATATATATATATATATATATCTTTCTCTCTCTCATGATTTTTGGTGTTCTTAAATTCAATTTAAATTAAATTCTACGCTTTGGGAATGTGAAAAACTTAGCTTTTCTTTTATATGTATTGAGACTGATATATATTATATATATATCGATATACTGTATCTCTATATCTATCTTTTCGTGTGTGTGTGTGTGTGTGTGTGTGTATATAAAAAAGAAAAGCTAAGCTTTCCACATTCCCGAAGTGTAGACTTTAAGAACAACACCAAAAATCATGAGCGTCGGCAACAACGTATGAGCTGGAACGGGGCCGTTTTCATGAACGTAGAAGATCACCGTTGTAGAAAATAAGTGGTTGGACCAGAAGCAGCCCACGTGAAACACAACGTGAAGGAATAGTTTGTTGATTAAAATTTGGGTCAAGTTCAGCTCTTTTTGGTGCTCGATTCCTCTTTCCTTCCGCTTTCTCCTTCCAGGGCCGGCCACGTTGTCGGCACGCGTCCCTCTGGGATGGAGCCTTGTCGTTTTTGCCGTGGGAACCGTGGCAGGTGAAACGAGAGGTTTCACGCCCTGGCATCACTCATCAACAAAGGAAAACATTTCTCCTGTGGCTCTGGCTGTGATGTAGGCCATTGACTTGGCCATGAGCGTGACCAGGCGTCAGAGGCCTGGGTCTTAGCTGGAGTCCCTGCTTTGCCCCTGCCCAGTGTTTCCTGCCCCAGTCCCAGCTGCAGGCAGACAGGATCCTTCCTCCCCTCTCCCCAGCACACAGGACCCTCGGGCTGCTGGGCCGCGTCCCCTTTAAAAGCCAAGGCCCGGGGCCGCTCCGGCTCCGCCCACTGCCGCAGAGCGCCTGGGCCCGGAAGTGCCACGTGTACGGAGTGCGCTTGCGCGGCGCCAGGGTTCCTTCCGGTGGGCCCCCCCTCCCTCTCCTCTCTCCCGCCCTCGGCGCTGGGGCTGGGAGCAGCAGGAGCCATGGCCCAGCCCGGCCGAGCCCACGGCGCCGGGCAGCAGGCCTACAGCAACGGTGAGGCGGCGACGCTCGGGCCCGCGGGGCTGGGGTTGGTTCCCCTGGCGGGGCAGGCGCTGGGCTGAGCTCGGGGGAGGCCGCGTGGCCTGGGGGCGGTGCCAGGCGTGGGGAAGACCCCCCGGGCCTCCCCAAGCCCTGCTCCGCGCCCCCCGAAACCTCTCATGTTTTGTGTCCCGAGATGTCAGGTCCCTAGCGGCCCCCGCACTGAGGAGGGCTTAGACAGCGGCTGGGGGGCTCAGGCCCACGGTCCCCCCCCCCCCCCGGTGGCTCAGGCCCACGGTCCCCCCCCCCGCCCAGGCGGGTCCAAAGTACTGCACCAGTCAGTAGTCAAGATGGGACCCTCTCGTTTGCAAGCTGCTTATTATCACCAACGTTACTTGACGGATATTCCCCCAGCGCTCATCGTTTCGGTTCGCTTCGGGCAACCCGTCCAATGTCATCAGCCACTGGTGGCGTTTACTTGAATACGAGATGTCGCTAGGGTCGTATAGCCACGCTTCTAACAAAAAGTGTAGTTTCATATTTTAATGTTACTTTCTGAAAGGCCCTAAAATAGGAAGCTGCTTTTCTGGTGTATTTTTTTTAACAGTATCTGTTTCTGGTTGCTGGCCTCTACTTGGCCTCTAGCGTTTTCTTCTCTGGAAGCTGCTTTCACGCGACCGACATAGGGGAAACGCCGATGCAGAGTGAGTCATGGGTTTGATTAAGAGCAGCTGGGTGCTGGTCGGCTGCTTTTCGTTGGTTAAAATCTCAGCAGTCAGTCATACACGGAGGCGCTGGCCCTTTGGAATCGAGTGTACATGTGGCACTGTGATGATTGCTTGCAGGGGGAGGATCCGGAAAGCAAAGTCTGCTCAAGTGTAGCTTGATCTTGGGTTTATGCAAAAGTAGCGTTCTTCCCTACAAGGAGCAGAGTAACCTGGGAGAGCCTGGTCTGTTTGGAGAGACAGGCGTCACGTATCTTAAGATGAGAGGCGAGGATTTCTTAGGGTGAGATCTTTTATTGGACCAGCTATGTAGCTGTCGAACTTTATCCCGCCTATGTAGTTGGTCCGGTAAAAGATCTCACCCTGAGAAACCTTTGCCCCTTGCATAATTTCTGGACCATTGTGGCTACAAAATCACTCTTGCGCTACCACATCTTAAGACAAGAGAGATGCTGCAACTGGTGGTACAGGCCAAGTTAAAACCGTCCTTATCTTAAACCAGAAGAGAAAAATCAAGCAAGAAAAGCCTTTGCTCTTTCTCTTTAATTATCATGTAAATAAAAAGGGGATGCATTTGGTGCAAGTGTTTCATAGTTACGCATGAACACTGATGTCTCTTAAATTTTTCCTTTCTTATAGGCTTGGATCTTGGCTGTTCGAGTTGCTCCTTTTTCCTACCTCTTCATGAACCAGATCTGTTTTGTTACTTTTTTTAATATCACTGTCAGAGTTGACGCTTGACTAACGGCTGTTGAACATTTCTCTAGTGCTAAGCGTGTGTTTAAGTGCCTAATAGGGTCTCTGTTTTGAAGAGCTTGCCATCTCAATAGAGGATCAGTAGACGAAGAGTAGAGGAGTGCCAGCTAGCAGAGAGTGTGTTGTGGCTTTTGTACTGACATTGCTTGGAATAGGAATGTGCTTAGAGGGCACAGGGTACCTGTCCTAAGGAAATATTTGAAGAAAGCAGTTGGCTATTTGTGTGTTAGGCAATTAAAAGGAAATAAAGGTAGCTATGCAAATACTTGAATTGCTTTAGTTTTACTGAGGTAGGTACTGAAGATAGCACTTTGGTCACTGTTACTTAGGAAATGTAGGAAATGTAGCATTGGTAGGAACAATTATTATTTAAGCACTGACAGCGTTCTCACTGTTTTTAAAACATGCATGGAAAAAGAAGCCTTACAGATTTTCTTTTTTTTTCCGCCTCTGTTACTATGCTGCAGTGTGCATAATGGTTTGAGTAGTTCATGAAGGAAGCTGGCAAGTAACTCTGTTCATGTTCATAGTATTCATGTTCACTGTTTCTGCTTCCTGACAACTTCTTGCACCCCGGTGCTTCAGCAGGTAGCCAACTGGACCTTACTCCATAAATGGTTACAGCAGCACTGCATTGCTCTTTTCTAAACTACTTTTCTAAACTATGTTGGGTTGGGTTAGTAACTCTTGATACTTCAGACAATTGGACAGGGCTTTTCTTAGAGTAAAGTCAGGTAGACAGATACGATTGACTTTGATTTGCTTGTGTGGGTGTATGGGGAATAAATAGAGATGAATATTTGTAAGGAAATGTTAATACGTTCATTAGCTTTGCCTGTAAGTGTCCTGCTGTGATCACAGCAACCCAAAATCATGAGAAGTTTCAGAAGTATTTGTGTTTTCTGTTCAGTCCACCAGGTGCTGTGTGGCACCAGATCTAGCTGCACAAATTCTATCTTTAGGTACTTAAGCATTTCTCATGTTAGTGATCTGAGGGGGGTCAGCTTTCGAATGCATGTATCCTCACAGGCAGACAAGGTTCCTTGTGTGAATTTGATATCTTTTATTAGACCAACCCAAATAGTTGAAGAATAGTTATTAAGCAAGCTTTCAAGTTCAAAAACCCTTCGTGAGGCTAATGAAGTTTCAGCAGTTGGTGTATGCTCTTCCTCACAGCACTTCTGTGTTATCCCTGCTGTACTGCACTGCTTCAGTTTCAGTGCTGTACAAGTCACTTGCCCAAGGTCAGACAGGAAGCCTGGTGGAGCAGGGAGTAGAGCTTGGGCGCTGGAAGAGCAATGCTAGCACCCTAATCCTTGGACTCTTGTCCTTTATTTTCTTGCCAGGAAATGCCCTTTGTTTCTATCCCAGTACTCCATATTGTTATGCAGTACTGTAGTTTGTAAGAGACTTTCAGCCGTGAGTGCATTTACTGTTGGTTTTTTTGTTTTTTTTACTCTATACATCAATGGTTCTCAACTTTTATGAACTCAAGGAACCCCTCGAACAATACAAGCTTTTAGTTTTGACTCATTTCTTGACTATGGAAAAATAATAGAGCAGTATTTCTGTTGCAAAAAACTCATAAAGACTACAACAGGTCTGAATGTGTTTGATAGTATGGATGCTCTTTTAAAATCTCTGCATTCAAGTTGTGCATTATTTGTAGGTGTTTGCATAACTAACAGTTGCATAATGCCTCTAAAGGGATCTCATGGAAACCCAGGGTACCTTGGGACCCTGGCTGAGAATCACTGGTGTATGTGGCTCACTCTTTTCCTTCCTCCTTTCCTTCCTGGCAGGGGAAAAAGCAGTGTTTCTTGATCTGAGTACAGAAGGCATGCAGGTAGTCACAGCAAGGCAAGGAGATCTAAAAATTAGTCCCTTGCCACAGCAGAATGGCAAATTTGGAGGGATTTTGGGAAAATGCCATATTTCAGTTATATAAGCAGAGTCCACAAGGCTCTGTCATTTTAAGTTGTCAGTGGACTTCACTGGTCTGTCTTATGTTTGATTCACATTTTTCAAGGTTATTTTTTCAACCAGAACTGACCATTATGTATGTATATAATACATGTAATGTTTTATATATATCCCCTAAATGTCTTTCCACTAAATGAGGTTAACAGTGTGGAATTTACAACATCCAGTGAACTAGTCCTCTGATTCTCCTTGGGCACCTGGGTACTGCCAGAATACATGCAACAAAGTATATATGTTTTATTTTTCAGCCAAAATAGTCTCTTAATGTTTCAGCTGAAAATAATTTATATAACTCTAGCGT